GGTACCCGCCGCTACATGTGTAGTACATGCGCAGCCATGTGGCTGCCCTGGAAGCGACTGGTATGGTATACCAAAAACTACGTGGGCCGCAGCCCCAAGTATCGTGCCGAAGAAGGAATTCGGCGACTTGCGCATGACGATCGACAGCAGGCCGATGAACACCTGCACGGAGCCGATGTCTTGGCCGATGCCAAACCTGGACAGCGCGATGGTCTGTCTGGTCGGAACGAACGTGTACTTCACGTTGGACTGGACCAAGGGGTACTGGCAATTGCCGCTGCATGCGGACAGCCAGATGTACTTCTCGTTCATGACGCCCTTCGGCGTGTACACCCCGACCCGCGTGCTCATGGGACAGATGGGACAGATGGGACAGACGGACGCTGTCGCGTACTGCCAGTCGGTTGTCGCCATCCGTGAACGTCTTGACTGTGATCGCCTTCGAGCGAAACACATGTAGAATCGCGTCTGGCATGTCTTGAAACAACCGGGTCTTTGTACTTTGAAAACACTTGACGAGCACGAGCAGCGAGTACTTCAATGACATGGCTTTGTACAGCCACACGCGAACCCTGGGGGGACTGGGATGCAGAGGGATGTGAACCCCATAAAGTAGAAAACGATCAAGTTGATGAGTATGCCACCATGTTGATGCAGAGGAGTGCGTACACCATAAGCTGGTCCATGTACAGTTCAACAGCACGAGCAAGCTCAAGTTGAACGCGTAAAAGACAATGTCATCAATCTCCCACCGGAACCCCACAAGTGGATATTACGAGATAATCGAGATGATCCCGACAATAACCTCGTGATTAACACCACGCGGATGCCCCCTACGGTGCCGTGGAACGTGTGGTAAGTTAATCCTCAGAGTAATCCCAAACTGTTAGCCATAGGCAGACAACGATTGAAGTTGAAGCTACATAGATAAAGCTATACATATGAGATTGAAGCTGGAAGAGCTCCACGCTTCACATCCCTCGACCACTTTGATGTGTTGAGAGCCAATAGCTACCTTGTTTTGATCCTACACACACTACTTGAAGGTTGCATATGTTGAGAGACATGGTTTGCATGTCTTTCGGCGATGATAATCAAGGAGGTTCTAGAGATAAGCTCACTTCTCAATCACCTTCCTTTGAGCCACTACAACTACATTTGTGTGTGTTGTGTGTCTACATCTGTTACAATCAACAACGCCAACAGAATCAACAGCGAATTTGTACGACGGCGTGCGCCAATACATGAGGATGAACCTCTGCAGAAGCATTGAATCATATTGGAGGCTGCCCTCTTGGATGCGAATTTAGTTTCGGGCAGAGAGGAGCAGAGGGTGGCGTGCTTGGTCAAGGCCGTAGCCTCAGGGTTGTCCTAGAAGACTTGGTGTAGTTGGTGGTCTTGTGGATGCCGATGTACGTTGCGCTTTTGGTTTCGGCACCCGTGCCAATCACATCGAACATCCACGTCGAGGTGTTCACCCCTGGTTGCAGGGGTGGTGTCTTCTCGATGCGGGTAAAGGGGTAAAGTACTCGATCAAATGTTCCGAGTTCGCCCTCAAGTCGCAGTAAAACACCGTATTTCCCCGTCTGTAAGTTGTTTGCGAAACGCTGGCAAAATCGAGGTAAAGTAGCCACCCGGAGTCACTTCGGCGAGGAGGGGGATGTTGTCCTTGGAGTGAACCATCCGTTGGTTAAATATCTGACGCTCGAAATTGGTCGACATATTCACCAGGATGACATAGCATGTGGAGATTATTGCAAGCTTGAATTGATCCAAAGTACTTCTCTTGTTAGGGTGTGCTGAGAATTAGCTAAATATCGGCCACATTGCCTTTCGGGTAGACAAACCTGAGCGATTCCAAGTACGCCAGCACTTGGTTGCTCGGGCCATGGTACATCAAGTGGAGTTGGCTCATCACTAAGACGTCGTCAAACAGGTCAAAAACTTCGAGGGATGGCTGCAGCAGCGCAATAACGATCGTTTTCCTGGCTCTTGATGATGCCGAATATAGCGGCGCTGGCCAACCCCGTCGAGATCCTTCCATGAGCGATACTTGCCTCATGTCAAACTCCATTTCGCCGATCGTCACGCGCTTGCGCTCGCCACCCGACACGCCGTGCAGTATGGCGTTGCCCATGGTCGTGTCTTTGTTGATGCTCAGACCCAGTTGATGCACCACCGCGTCTGGGTACGCTTCGTCCAGAGCCAAGCGCGTCGACATTTCCCTCGGGGATGCCGTGCTTCATGGACTCGAGTACGCTCTCGGGTACGGCTCTGCCCCGCACGCTTGGTGGACAAACTCCATCGTTTCTTTAACGGTGGGCGTCGAGTAATGGTAGTCGTGCTGGCTAATGTATGGTACGAATCGAGCTACGCGGACTGCCACGTTGCCCTTGAAGACTGTCGTTGTATATGATGGAGCCACAAATGAGTGTTTTTTGTCCCTCGAAAAGCCCCTGCGATTATTTTCATGAGCAACGACTTGCCAGAGTTGGGCTGGCCCAGGAGCAGCATCATGATGGCGGATTTGAACACGCCACTGACGGGGTCCACGTGACTTTGTGGACGAATTGATTTGGCTGCTCGTGTCGACCTGCAATTTTTGGATGTGACCGCGATGAGTCCGGCAGCCAACGACAAGGCTTGGAATCGAATTTCGACTTAGGGAATTGGCTTGCCCGTGCCTGTCTCTAGACTGGGCGGCTCTGAGCCATCCACCAAAAAACCTTTGGGGGGAAATATGTAGTGGGGGTTGGGTTAACCACGGGGGCGAGTTTTGAACAATGCCACGTAACGCTACTTCCGTTGATGGTGTCGCCATGGATGCAAAAATGTATCGATGATTCTACGTAGCATGTGACTCGCAATTTGTTGGCGTCGTCGTGTGGATGTGCCTCGTCGAGATTGAGGAGCAGTTGACACGACATTTAGCTGGGTGCATCGTGACCTTGGTATTTATATTGATATTACGCCGTAAAGTTACAATCACTCAGCGGGCACTTAATGGCCTCGGCCGCGTACTAGATGGTTTTCATCTAGCGGACGTAACAGGGGGTGGTGGTGGGCCGTCCACTGCGGGGTCGTTGTTGGCGTTTGTTGTAGTAGTAGTACGTCCACTAGCACGGGCACTAGTGATGAGTGAGCCCAATGATTGGTTTCCGCGGAGGGCGAATTGGTGGGACGCGTTGACCAGTGTTTCAGGTGTTCTGGAAGAGTAGAAAGCCCCCAATTTGGTGGTGCATGTGCGCAATCCGTACGAGGTTTTGCCTGTCAAGGCTGACATACGAGTGAGGGCAGCCGTGGGACGGTGAGGCGACACATTCAGACGCAGATTTGCAGTTTTTGGGCGGTTAATTGTCGATGGACGTTGAGCAACTTTGATGGTCAAAGCAGCCGGATGGAGAATCGCGGTCTTGACCGTGCACGGCTGGCGGATGACCCAATGACGAATTTGGAACGGAAATTTCTTGCGTCGTGTCAGTACCGACGATGTTGTGATTGCGCCCAATGTGGGCTGGTCTTGAGAGGACACTTCAAAGCTGGAGTGTTTAATTTTGAAGGACGGGTTTGTTGACGCAACTGTGGAGTGCTGGTTTGACACTTCCTTTGGGTAGGCGAAAAGAATACAAGGATGATGTGGCTCTACGTGGCTGCGAAGCTGTATCACCCAGGTTGGGCTGAACGAATGGAATTGGCGTCATTGTTGGCCCAGGCGGTGGGCATGAAGGTAGCGTCGATTTGGATGACTTTCTTGGACGTCGTGATTCGTCTGGTGGCGTGAACTGGAAGCGACCTGAGGCAGCAGTGTATGGCGGTGGAATGTATGATGCTGGGAGATGATAGTCTGCGGGTGGTGCATGGAAACGTGCAAACAATTCGGCAGTATGACACGGGCGGGATGTAGGAGTGGGTATGGGTATAACCTTGGGTGTGGGTGCAACTTTGGGCGGCCCCTGATCTTATGCCCAAGTGGGGAAGCGGTGCTCGAAAGAACTGGTACAGGTGTAGCGTGGTCTCAGGATCTTGGCAGCCTTGATGTGATAGACTGGAGTAGTAAAGCCCCCAGTGGAGGTAGGGTAGGAGAGGGAAACACAGCAACGCGGTGATGCTATACATGTGTCTTCGGTGATTTTCCCAGCGGCTGAGCTCGTTATCCATTACAAGGTGGTCCCGTGGGAAGAATTGGAGGTGAGCGATGACGCGGGTGCGGCCGGTGCACGGCGTGGCCATGATGGGGTGTTCCATGATGGTGGGATGGACGGGGAGAGGAGTGAACGCCGCGCTTGTACGCGAACCTGATGCTTCCGTTGTGCTCAAAAATCTCTCGGGGGCCGTGACCCATGTGTGGGTTAAAGGTATATTTGGGAATGCATCGTGATCTTGAAGCGACGTTACGTAACGTGTATTTCTAACCTTCGACAGCTTGAAGAAATGAGTATTGGCTGAAAGGGGTGCATGTTTGGGTACAATCCACACAACCTTGGGAAATTCACACGTGACACGCGCCACGTCAAATACAATCGCGGCGTTTCTTTGCAACTCGCTCGCTTATGCATCGCACGACTGATTAAAATGTGCTCGGATGAGAAATACCTCTGACTTGCAGCACATCTTACTACTGTAACGTTATATAACCTTGAAAGCAGCATTTCAAGCAGATATTTCCATCGTTTTCATGGCTTTAATTTGTGCACTTCTAGTGCAAATATCACGTCTCCTTGACGTGGAGAAGGCCCACGGATCAAGTCCGGGTAAGACCAACCTTTTTCACGTCAAAAGTGTTGCGGGCATCGCCGTTCGGAGCTTACAGGTAATTGAAATTCGTTGTATGTAAGCTTATTGTCTCAGTAAAACCCTCTGCATCTACGAGCCCTGCCTTGATTAGACATTTCATTTCACAGTCGGTTTGTTTGTTGTCAAGGAATGACGGTACATTTTCAATGTCAAAAAAGAATCACGAATCTACCACGTTTATTCGAGAAATAAACTTGAATTTCAATTCACTGTTATACCATCAAACGTATCCAATATAAATATTGCATATATAATGTTCGACTGGGACAAACGGGCCAAATCCTTGGGCCAAACATCCCTGAACTACCATAGGTTAGAATTTTTGGATTGAAACCCAATTTCATTGGCTAGTCGATTGTATGCCTTTTGACTGCCTTTTGGCTGCCGCTATTCGATTGGACTACCCACTCCAACTTCGAATCGAATGCAAATACTTCGAATAGTAAACACGTCTGCCGGCCGTACTACAGATTTGCGTTTCCCTACTGTACTGTAGCTAGGGAGGTTTTGGCAAAATCAAATAGGGTCATATGGAGGAAACTATTCTGAACGATATACCCTCGGTGCGGCCTAGGGACCCATAATCAAAAATGGCTGAGGTCCATTAACTGGAACAAGATCCATCGATATTGAACGGTTGATTCGAATTTGACTTTGTGAAACAAGGTTTTGTTGCGTTGACATCAATTATCCGGACATAACCGGATAAACCAGCCGTATTTCAACAGATCCCTGATTTATTCATTTTCTGGTGTATACCGGTAGACTTGAGTAACGTGTTTTATGAAAACATGAGACGTAGTACATGTTTGCATGAGAACCCGAGACTATAGACGAATAGGCAGCGGTAAACTGTGTCGACGCTCATGCTGCCGTGACGCCGCGACTTTCAGTTCCTGCTGTTGATTTCCCAGACTCAGGGATGTAATGTTTGACTTACTGAAATAACTGTAAGGGGCGAATCAAATCGTGAGGTCGATTTATTGCCGCTTCAAGTCAAACGGTCAAACCTCCCCAAACTTTGGCCCCTCCCGGAGACCGTTTGCACGCAACCCGGGAATGACGTCATATCTATCGCTGGTCCGCTCGCGGAGACCGTTTGCATGCCACCCAGGAATGACGTCATACCTATCGCTGGTCCTGGAATCCCGCTGTAGAACAGCACCAGCAAGTATATTATTGTCACGACGAAGCTAGGCTAACACTCACCCGGCAACTCTAATGAACCACACATATAAATACACAAACGCTGTCTGGCAGCAGGCAAAGTCTCAAGAACATGTGGCGGCCGTCACAGGAACAAAGCTTCCCCCTTCCATGTCGTCCACGCAGCTTACTCGAGAGTAACCCATGACATTGTCTTTGGACGAGAAAAACAGGCTCGGGTGCACCCCTACCAGCGTGGGGCTCTTGCTTTCGTTGCTCGAGTTCTCGGTGAGGTGGTCGTCGACGTCATCCATCGCAAGTTTCAGGTCCCCGCGGGATGAAGCTGGCTGAAAGACTGGCAAGTGCGCTCTCCGCACGATCCCGACCACTCCATCCAGGGGGTTGGCCTCCTTATCACTCTCCTGGCTTGGAGTTGTCACCACAAGGACCGTCGTCGCGTGGGGGTGGCGAAGGAACAAGGCGAGAAGCGACGAGAGAGGCGTGGAGGGTTCCACTTGCATACACGGCATCTTGTCGCCGCAGACGCCGTCCAGGACCGGATACAACCCTGTCTTGTGGGCGTAAATCAAAGTAGAATCCGATGTCACAGGTGAAGCCCCCTCGTCGAGGAGATGGCTACCCAGGGGTACCCCTGACGGCGGAGACGCCACGGCGTCCTCAATTGGGGCCGCGGGGGTCATGCAGTCTTGGACAGTGCATTTGCCTAATTCCAGGACGCATTGCAGTAGATCAACGTCGTCGGATGTCAGGCCTGCGCGGGGATTGCGTTCATACTGTAGCTGCACCAAGGCCTTGAGTTCATCTCGAGAGTACGTGAGATTCGACGACGTTTCGCCCACGGTACGATTCAAAAGCACGGAAATCGGATACGAAATCGGATACGTCATCCTACGACGCACAATGTGAGATGAGATTTTGGCGTCTGATGTATAATCACCGAATGAGACCGCGCAAGAGAGGCACACAGGCAGCCCCAATGACGAGCTGCCGATCGCCGGTGCAAAGTGCTGTTGGGACAATCTCACCAAACAAAACCACAAACGTGACGGAAAACACCACCGATGCCACGGGGTTGATGAGCGTGTTGAGGAAGATCGGAAGCGCTTCGTTTGCTAGCGCGTTCATCAAGACAAGTGTCACCAACAGCAAGCGGTGCTGCGACAGCACCGGAAGCAACCGCGCAGCCGCGTTCCGAGCGGTCGGGGACCTACGAACAAGACAGATGTTGGTGAGGAGGTGGATGCTACTTGGGTCGCATATCGGACTCACCCTTCCATCTTCAACACGGAGAGATGCATGGTGTCCAGCGAGAGCACGCCGACGGTGAGCCCAGACATGGCTCCAGCCAAAATGACAAAAACCACGACGCAGCACACAGCCCCAATGAACTTAGACGGGTTACACGCGTACACTAGGTACGTGTCATCCTCGCATCCCTGAGGCGGAAGAATGGAAGCAGATAGCACCCCCGACACCACATTGGAGGCCATCGTGTACGTGTGGCCATTGTAGAACAGCTGACCGGTCGGCAGCTGCTCGACGTGGTGGAGCATCGGCACCTCGACGGTGGCGGCCACTGTACTGCTGCTACATGCAAAACTCACAAACGACAGGAAACTGAGGAATAACGCGCCTAACGATCGAGTGCGGAGCATCGTGGCGAGGCTTGCAAACCCGACAACAAATGAACGTGGAACGATAGTTTAGTTGACAATGCCCTTTGGTGTGCTTTACTTCGAAACGTCTAATTCGAATCTTTTACCTTGAAACCGATCGTTACTTTTTGAGAGGAACAATAATACTGTACTGTACCATTGAGTATCCACATCACCTCAGCAACTACAGTACAGTACTTGTACTCGTGCAGTCGAGGCGACGGCATGTGCAGCGATGGATTGGTTTGGACCTTTTCTTGGCATAGGGTGTAGGTACAGTACATACATAAATTTGCCTACGAGAAAAAATGTATGGTGCATTTCAACTAAAGACTACAAAAAAATGCCTTGTCTTTCGACAGCTATTCCAACGTTGTATTGATATTTTTTAGGAAAATAAGCCGTAATAACGAAAGAACTGGTCAAGACCAACAGATGTTACGGTTCAAAATTTCGATTGGTGAAAAATTGATTGAGTAATAGAATTTAAACCAACCAGCTTTTGTATGGAAATATGTGGAGCCAGGCACATTTTGGCCGAAAAGGAGCATCAAGTATATCTTGGTCTTTGTATATAGAACTTATCCGTATGAACGTTTCCATTGTATCCGGATTATTCAGGATGTTTAACCTATTTACCAGATAAAAAAACATAAGTAATAATAATTTAACGTCAACATTACGTGGGTTTAACTGAAAGAACCGAGGCGTTTAAACTAAAGCGTCTCTTCCTTAGGATGACCGGTCTAGGGCCCCCCTGGGTAAATTTTCCCTTATGGATTTCGCATCACTGTCACACAGTCGAGATGATGTTCTGCAGCGTGCAGAGCAATTGGGTCGCGCGTTAGTTTGACCCATTGTAAACACACACACTCTGTGTGTGTGTGGCGTGTCAAAGGTTCCGATACCTTAGTAAAGGTTCTGAGTATTTAGTGAATGGT